GTCACCGTTTGAGACTTGTTATGGATTTTTACCGCCGAGCCCGTTCGATCTTGTGTTTTCAAGTGAAGCCACAGTGGACGGCAAGGAGGGGAGTGAGAGACAACGTGCTCAGCGATTTCTTGAGAAGATTGCAAATATTCATGCCACGGTTGAAGCTCAATTGAAGAAATCGCAAGCTAAGTACAAGTCGCGAGTTCCCTCAGCTGAAGTTCTAACTTGAATGGGACTTCAAGTTCCTAAAGGGGGGACCCATGATACGGGTGTATCTTCTCTTCGGGAGCTTAGCGATCCTCTTGGGAGCTTGAGGATAGATGATTCTCATGGTATCTTGAGAATAGAGTAGATGAGTCGTGGACGAGGCCATTGGAAGCAACGAAGTCGAAAGGATTCATCAAAACTGCAGAAATTACAGTTGGACTCTGTCCGGTCGACCGGCGTGGTCACGGCGGTCGACCGCATCGTGCACAGACCCCAACTGTGTCTCGGGACTGAGATCGGTCGACCGATGGTGGCACTGCGGTCGACCGGAGAACCCTGTAATCGATTTTTCAGATTTCGTCGTTCTGACCGGTCGACCGACTTGGGCACTGCGGTCGACCGCGTCGCGGATCCGGGCCTGGGTCTGTTTCCTGCTCCAGTTGGGATTTCTGTTTAGTATAAATAGAAACACGACTTTTCTAGGGTGGAGAACTGAGTTTTGTAATCAGAAAAGAGATCAGGGAGGTTGTTCTTTGATCTAGAGAGATTGTGAGAGAGAGATTTGTAAAATCCAATTGATTCTCATAATCTAGAGAAGGTATTTTCCTTCGCCCTAATTCAACTCTTGTGTTCTTCTATCGTTCTTCTTCTTTACCCACTCTTGATAATTCCGCGATCAAGAGTGCTCGCACGGCAACTCGTATCACCCCTAGCAAATTTGGAAGTCGCAATTGAAAAAACTTCTAAAATTACAGTCTAGCCCCATGCATGCTTTTAAAAAATTACACCCAACCCTTACTTTTATAACCACTAGTTCTTGTGCAAGTGCAATGCAGGTGGTTAGATATCAAATTTATTTATTTATTTATTTATTTATTTATTTTCTTACTATAAAATAACTCAGATTCATTTTGAATTAAAATCTATAAACATGGATTATTACTTTTATCATAAATTTTATTTAAACATTTAAAAAAAATTATGAAATAGATTTGTGTGTAAAACTGGGATCAATATACTTTTATATATTTACATACATAACATTATTTTTTTAAATTTGTATATATCAAACTTCATGTAATATATTTGTTTATCGGATTAAATCATCGATGTCCAATTTGTTTATCCTAGTCATTAATGTAGTGTTAAGTTTAAAAAATACAATAATATATTGTTGATGTGTTAATAAAAATATAACCAGATATTTAATATTAAGATAACTCGTATAAGCTCAGCACAGAGCACATACTTTTCACAAGACTAGAAGACATCTTAATTATTGATAAACTTAAAATAAATAAAATAAATACTAAAGAATAATTGTGACTCCAGTATAATTTTACATGACAAAATCATAACATATTAAAAATTTTGCATGAAAATCCCTTCTAAATGTTCCTAATTTTACTCAGAAATTAAGTTTTACTATAAAATATTCAAAAAAAATATTATCCTTTATTCATTCTTTTTTCATATTTAATTGAGCAGAGATTAATCATTCTCTACCTTTATCTTTTTCCTATGCAATTCTACAGTAGTGCCTTCATCATCTACATCAATTGTGATATCATGTTGGTATATAATAAAGAGCAAAAGATAAGACAAGAGTCTAGAAATATATTAGGATATACTTGGATCAATCAAATTATATTATTACTCATAATTGATATGCATCCTAGACAAAATGTGTTGATAGTGTTAAACTATACAACAGACTATTTGGGCCCTCTAACATAACTTATTTAAATCAAGCAACCATCAAGCTTAATTTTAAAAATCTATTGGGGCCAAAACACTAACAAGTTTGCAGTAGAAGATAAGAGAACATAATACATTCTTAAGAATTATTAATTTTTACTTAATTTGTTTATAATGACAGGATCACATTATTAACTAACTACAAGACCTAGTACATTATTTTTTTATTGGGTACTGTTCAAGGTAGGCAGAGGACCCAAGTGAGTCCTCATCGCAATGAATGTTATACAATTTAAGTGTAAAGAAAAAGGAGGGTTGATCAATGGTGTAGTTTGTGAGGGAAAAACTCCAGCATCTTAATTTGGGTATGTGGAAATATTATAAATAGAGATGGAGAATGGTGGTTTTGAAAACAGTGATGTCTGGGGGTAATTAATATGGTTTTTGTTTGTGTGGTTTTCTTCGCTCATTTTTGAGATATTTATGGTCCTGTGGATATGTTTATATAGCTATAGTATAGCTACTCTCTTTTGGTTTTATGGAAGAGTTTGGATGCAAAAAAAAAATTAAATTATCTAATCCGGTTAAAGTAGGATCATATAAGTTAAGCCTATACATAAAATTTATTTTAACCAACACTCATATGTAAGTATTACAATTGGCATTGAGATCTAAGATACGTGTGAGATTCTCTTTGATTTTATACAAACAATATCTATTTAAATAATAATAGTATAATTAAACTTTGTGAACTGAAAAGAAAGATCAAATATATAATATAATTAATTATTTTAAAATAATCTAATCTAATCTAATAAGAAGAAAATAGATGAAAGTGATGTGAAAATTGTTGCAATTTTATAGTTCATAATTTTTAAACAATCTAATATTATCTAATAAGAAGAAAATAGCAAAGGCATATACCTGTTGAAGGAGATGAAAATGATATGAAAAATTATTGTAATTTCTGATCTGAAAAAAGATCAAACATATATATAGTTAATTGCTTTAAAATATATGAAAAATTATTGTAATTTCTGATCTGAAAAAAGATCAAACATATATATAGTTAATTGCTTTAAAATAATCTAATCTAATCTAATAAGAAGAAAATAGATGAAAGTGTAATGAAAATTATTGCTATTTTATAATTCATAATATTTAAACAATCTAATTTAATCAAATAAGAAGAAACTAACAAAGGTACACACCTATAGAAGGGGATGAAAGTGCTATGAAAATTGTTGTAATTTTTTGGCTTATATATATTGGTATGCGATGTTGCATGTGAAAAGATAACATTGTAAATAGGGTTCTATTTAAATAATAATAGTATAATTAAACTTTAAAACTAATTATACAGTACTATAAACTACTTAAATTTTTGTCGGTGAGAGATCGTCACGTTGTGTCCTTAGATCGTAGCTGTTTGTTTTAATTTTCCTTTTTTATAATTTTGAGAACAACTTTTGTCTCTTTAATTTGTTTGGTGGATTTTGCAAATATTCCATCCACACTATGTACATTTGTAGGTCTGTGCTATTTCTGGATTCGACCTTTAGGGCAAACATTATTTATCTCATTAATTTGTTTAGTTTTTGCATATACGCCCTTCATCTTGTATACATTTGTAAATTTGATATTCAATAATTTCATTAAGGTTTACATTTCAATTTAAATTATATCCTTATCTTCATACTATGTATATCCAATAAGAAATCATCAATTTATCAACTTACTATTACTTAATAGAAGGGTATTTTTGTCTACCGATTTTTCTGAACTCGTGTTTTTAAAGGGAGTATGACTAAACAAGTCTGGAGCCACATTTGCATTTAGCTCATTTGAATTTTTAAACAATTGGCTCATATAGATACTTGTTGTTCGCCCCCTAAAAAAGTTTTCGTTGATCCTCTATTGGGCGAACGTCAGCACGTGTGTGCGTGTTCGTGTGCATCTATATCTATACACATGCACACATGCACAAACAAAATATGTGCAATTTAATTATTATGAGTTGACGTCTTATTTTATTGAATGAGCTGCTAAAAATAAAGATTTGTGAGATTCATCCATCTTATTTAATTATGGCAACATGATCTTATTACAGGTCTATTTCTTCATAGGTCATTAGCAAAACGATTTCTAATGGGCATATTGGATCCAGAATTTCAAAAAACTGGCATCGGCATAATATTTTGAAATCTTAATGAAAAAAAAAGTATATAATCACATTATTGGTAACACTATCTGAAAACTAATTTTAATAGGTAAGGACTAATTCCAAAATATAAAATATGTAAGGGACTACTATAGAAAAAATTTATAAAGAGAACTCATTTACCCTTCAGGCAGTCTCTCTCCGCCTAGGTAAACTATGATATATCCAAATGGATCTCAATCTCACGTGAGGCCCAGTTCCCCCCCCCCCCTCTCCCCTCTTTATGCTGCGACTGAATTGGCGACAAATAATTATGTTTGAAGGGCTAGTACGCTTCATTATCTTGTGTGGGCCTTACAACCCAAGGAAACTGCCACTTGACACGCGGTTCCCAAGGGTGGATCTGCCCATGCTAACGGGTCGGGTGCACATGAACACTCATTAGGAGATGAGGGAGAGAATTAAGCCCAGTAGAGCCCATCTGAGTCGCACTAATCTCTCTCGTTAACTATCCTTCCTCTCTCTCTCTCTCTCATCCCTAATGACTAATGAGTGTTTGTGGGCACCCGTTAAAAGAATCCTTAAAAAATGAGTTGTCAACTTACACACGTTGTCTCCGGTATACGTATGAGGGCAATTAATTATGATATAAGTCTCTAGCAAGATACATGCTCATCCATTAAAAACCAACAAAAAGTGTAATTTCTGAGGGCATGTATGGCTGCAAATATTTAGAAGGAAAAGGCTGGAAATCGTCAATTTGTGGATTTCACACTTAAGAAGGAAACATGAAACATGCCAATGTGTTACTGATAACTGATCCCCCACCCAAAATCTACTTCAACAAAGTGGACTTCGCAAGAACTTGCAAGAAAGAAATTTAAAAAAAAATTGAAAATCAACGCAGGAAAAACTCAAAAGGAAAAAATGATGATGTGGCACGTGTACCTTTCAATATTGTGTTATACATCCCCAGCTTTGAATAAAAACACCCAAACAGGCCCAATTACCAAACCTACACAATTTATAATAAAATTTATAAATAAACAGGCGCTGGCATCTCAACTACTACTTTAGTTTATACACACAACACATCAAGACCCAGATTCCTCGGCAATCACAACAGACTCAATGGTTAACATCTTCGCCAGTAAACAACTATCCCTGTCAATATTTAACAACTCTTGTCCCCAGTTGTATCCCTGATTCACTGATTACTTGCTCCGCAAAAAAGAGACTGAGCTCCCAATGCTTAATATTTAACAAGTACCCAGGAATTTAAATATACCATCCAATCTTCGAAGTCAGATTTCATGACACAGATATATTCTTAATAACAGCATCCAGTCGTGGACCAGCTTTAAACAAAACAGGAGTTCGCCTGAAATTTAGATCTCCATCGCCGCTCCAGCTATTTTTCAAATGCAGTGACGAAAGCGCTGACGCAATTGTGTCGGTTCTTAATAGTCCAAGAACACACACTAGATATAGCTTTTAGCTTCGTCTTCTCCTTATGCACCAGCGAAAAATATGGCCAAGGAGCAAGCTGAGATGTCGGTGTTTGAGCTAGAGGAGCTAGGAAGAAGCTCAAGGTCTTCATTCCGTCTCCATGGCTCTATGTCTCGGAGAAATTCCAGCATTGGGTCAGCAAGGGAGGGAGATGATGAGTATGAGCTCCAGTGGGCAGCGATCGAGAGATTAGAAACCTTTGAACGAGTGAGAAAGTCTGTCGTTGATGGAGATAGCAGTGAGAATCAGAAAGAGAAAAAGGTGGCTGATGTCACCAAGCTCGGGGCTCCGGAGAGGCGTCTGCTCATCGAGAAGCTCATCAAGAACATTGAGAATGATAACCTCCGGCTGCTGCAGAAACAAAGAGTGAGAATAGACAGGTAACCTTTTAGCTGTTCTCACTGTGAATTAAATCACGTGTTTGTATGTAGTGCTAATGTTTATTGGCTACCATATACTAAAATGATTAATCAAGCTAGCTGAATCCATGTCTTGTCTGGTATCTGATAGTGAAACAGCTTCCCCATACACATACCAATGCAACATAAGATTTGAATTAGATCATCTCCGTGAATAAAAAACAGATAAAAGGAGGTTATTAATCAGTACAGGACCTATGGAGACTCGAAATACAGGGTCTTCAATAAAAAGGAGACCCCTCACATAAAACTACAAACAATAACAAAAAGATACCAGAAGTTCAAAAACATAATAGCCCACAACCTTTATTACCCTTCGTTCCGGCAAAACTTGATAAGAAACTAGTCAAGCTAGAAAGATGTAAAACTGTTTCCCAGAATTTGGATTTTTTTTTTCCATCCAAAAAATCCACCACGTGGCACAATTAGGTAATCCGCTGATATTGAAGTTTCTTTTCCAAGAGATGTGGAGTCACACAAGGGTATAATGAAGGGAAGACTATCCTCATGATTACAGAAGACATATTGGGAACCTCTCTCGACTCCTCTTCTGCCACTCTCTTTGATCAAAAAAATCCCAACTTGAATAAGAACCCACGTATGGATTTTGAGTCTTTTGACCCTAACAGGCTTTGGTTTCAATACACCCCTAGAATCAACTCTTGCTTCTCTATTTCAAATATCCATATAAAGAAAAACCTAGCCTTTATCCCAAAATTTCAAAATTATAGTTCTGATACATGAATCTTTTTCTTCATGTCAGTTCTCCTATGGATCACTTCAGTTAATTTGTCATCATATATCCTCCATCTAATTTCATAATAGGCGACCTCTAGTCCTCACTAATCAGTGAACTCGGCCCTATTGTTTCTCCTATGTGGTGCACCTAGAGGCCTATGTCGTACGTATCTGTAATAAACTAATTCCCAGTCATTTTATCCTCAACATTAAGGAAAAACCAATGGTTTCTTATGCATGTACTCATCATTATCGCTTAGTGACTAGTCCCTCGTCGATTTTATCATCCTTATTTTAGTAGTCATTTTTTGAAAAAGTTTCTTAACTGATCTATCTTTATTCCGCAGACCCTTAGTGGTGTCATAGCGATTCAAAGAACTTTTCTGCAATTTCATATGTATTCTATAATCATAGCAAACTCACAGAACTATTGTTTTATAATCCGGCTTTGACACTATGTACTTCACCATCTTACTCAGTGAAATGGTAATGGTTGGCGAGATATTTGTCCACCACCAATCAGTACTAGACTGTCATTCTTTCAAGCAAAGTCGGCAAAGTTAAATATCATATGTTATTTTCTAGCTGTTGTATTTATTCTAATCTTTAAATTCTAAAATTTCTTTTCATCTTTCTAATTTGAAAATTACCTTTTCTCTAGTCTCATCTATTAATACTATTTATGCAACATGTGCATTCTGTGTAACTCTAGTTAGTTCACATATCCAATACTTATTAAATTAATCCATAAAATATTTTGGCTGAGAAATGAAATTAGAAAAGAGAATTTTTTCAAATCTTGGCAAACCAACAATCAGATTTTTTTCTAAAAAAAATATACCTTTTCCCAGTAAACTTTTCTTATTTGAACAGACAAGGTGCTGAAGCATCATTATGTTCCCATTCATTAGATGATCTGCCAACATTCCTAGCCAGTTGATTCTCTTTCATCATCCGTTGATCTTCATTCTTGGTACAGATCTTGGTTGAACTCATCTTCATTCTTGGTAGAGATCTTGGTTGAACTTGACCAGCGACCTCTTCTTCCCATTACCATTGCTTCTATTTCCTGTGTCTCCAAAATCCAAAACAACCAACTAAAACAAAACGAGTCCTACTTTCAGGTAATGTTCCATATACAAACACCATCCATATTAATCTATTGTATAAATTCTTGTAAATGTAGACTGGGAAAATATCGTATGTAAGCATGAACTCTAAAATTTATAGACACGTCTAACAATTCTATAGCATTGTGACAGAATGCACTGTTTCTTTCCTCAATGAAAGAGAGTACAATTTCATCAATATTTTCCCACTGTGATGGTGTACTACATGTGTTACATTGTATCAGACCCTAGTTTGCATTGAGAGACGTGTTTTTGCAGAGTAAATGTGGAAGTTCCCACTATTGAAGTGCGATATAAGAACTTGTCTGTTGAAGCCGAGTGTGAAGTAGTTAAAGGGAAGCCTCTACCGACTTTATGGAATGCTGTCAAAGGAATTTTTTCGGTGAGATGCGTACTCAACATCCAACTCTAGTTATATACATAAATCCTTTATTGAACCAGTGGTTTCTTTTCTGGTTTCTACATAATTATATCTTCAGATTATTCCTTACATTCAATAACAAAACATCAGAGAAGTGTTTGTAACTTTCCAGAGACAAAATGTTTTGTCGGATTGCATCAAACTGGTTTACTGATACCTTACCTTACGCAAAATAAGAAAAACTTAGAAAGAGATTACCATCAAAAGCTGGTTTTCTCCTATTATTTGAACTGGTATTTCATATGTAAACCAAAAATCAAGTAACTTTAACCCCTAAGTGCAGCATTTGATTGATCACTTTCAAAAACTACTCTTAGATAGTCTATATTTTATTGAAACAGGGTCTTGCAAAGGTGCCTGGTTTGAAGAGTGAAGAAGCAAAGATAACGATCCTAAGTGATGTCAGTGGCATTATCAAGCCTTCCAGGAAAGTATTTAGGATTATTATTCTAATAGGTTACAACAGACTTGTTTTATAAACTGGTCACAAGCACAGTCCACTTCTTAATCAAAGATGCTCGCTACAAAAAGTAAAGAAAGCCATAACAATCGCTGTAACTCCTGAAGCAAACTTTATTTTGGGTGAATTGCACATAACCCCCCTTCCCCCCCAACCCCAAAAAAAAAAAATAAAAAGAACCCCACAAAACACAAAGACACCCCAAAAAAAATCATGAGAAAGAGGGGTGCTAGTTGGAGTTTATCTTTCTACGAATTGCTAAGTTAACCAAATCACATTCATTAGAAGTAAGCCTTGTTGAAGATGGGTGTAGACCCATACCTGTCAACGGCAAACTTGAGGCCGACGGCGAGCTCAGGCGAGGTCGAACAGCGAAGGCGAAGTCGTGGATCTTGCTGCAGGCGAGCTCGTGGCGCGGAGGGCTACAGGCGATCTCTTGGGCAGTCGGGCGAACTCGAGCAGGCGGATTTGAAAAGCTTCTGGCGAGTTCGGAGAAGCCCCGCTTGCGAGATCCCCTTGCAGGCGAGCTTTGGAGTTGGTCTTACAGGCGAGATTGAAGTTGACGATTCCAGGTGAATTCGAAGACTACAAGCGAGCTCGAATCTGAGTGCGGAACAGCTGGCTACAGGCGAGCTCGAGAGAAGATCTTGCAGGCGAGATTTGAATGAGGGTTGAGCAGGCGATTTCCGAGTTCGCCTCCCCCTTTGGGTGTTTCTTCGCCTGCGGAGTTCTCCTATAAAAGAAGAACTGTGCACGAGAAGAAAAGTGAGAAGAATCTCAGAGTGATTTTTAAGAGCTGGGTGGCGGCGTTCTTTTCGAGCGCCTTCTTCTCCTCCCCGATCTTTTGAGCACGAGATTTCAAGTGAAAATCTCAGTTATTAAAGAGAGTTCCTGTAGCAGATTTATTGAGGAGAGAGGAGATTTTCAAGTTGGAAAATCTCAGCGCCTTTTGTTTGAACAACAGATAGTTTCTGTTGGTTCTTTTTCTTGAGATATCTCAAGTTTTGAGATCTGTTCTTTACAAGCTTTGTAATCTTTTTTAATATAAAGGAAATTATTTGTGTGGCTCCCGAGGACGTAGGCAAGTTGTCGAACCTCGTTAAATTCGGTGTTCTTTGTTCTTGTTATTTTGATTTGTTGTGATTTCTTCTTTTTTTTTCATTGCTTAACACAAAATCCGGTAGGACAAATTCCGCAGAACGGGTGTCAGAACGTATCTGTTATTTCCCCAAGAACTGGTATCAGAGCCCTTGTTCAGATTTGTGTGTGTAAGAAATGGCAGAAGAAGGCAAATCTAAAATTAAAAAGTTTGACGGGTCAAACTTCGCCTACTGAAAGTCACAGATGGAGGACTATCTGTACCAGAAGGATCTTTACCGTCCGTTGATGGGTAAAGCAAGAGGAAAGAAGAAAGAAGAATCCGACGAGGACTCGGAAATATTGGATCGAAAAGCCTTGGGGCAGATCCGATTAGCCCTCGCAAAATCTGTAGCACACAATATATTAAAGGAGAAGACGACGGTGGGGCTTATGGAAGCGCTCGCAACGATGTACGAGCAACCGTCAGTAGCAAATAAGATGCATCTCGTCAAGACGCTATTCAACCTCAAGATGGTAGAAGGATGTTCCTTCACGATGCATCTCAGCGAGTTCAACACGATTGTTGATCAACTTATCTCACTCGACATCAAGTTTGATGACGAAATGCAGGCTCTATTGATACTATCACAGTTGCCAGATAGTTGGACAGGTTACGTGACCGTAATCAGCAACTCGGCGAGAAAGGAGAAGTTGAAGCTGAAGGAGGTGGTAACTATGATTCTATCCGAGGAGGTTAGAAGAAAATCGAATGAATCAGAAGGTTCAGTCCTAAGTCTCGAGCAGAGAGGCAGAAGCCATAATAGGAGGAACCAAAACAGGAATCGATCAAAGTCGAAGAAGAAAAGATCGAACTCGAAGGTGAGACCTATCAAGGAAAAATATTGGAACTGCGGCCAGGAGGACCACATGTCTTCTACCTGTAAAGCACTGAAGAAAAATGAGCAGGAGGCTCATATTGTGCAAGATGCGCTGATTCTCGCTATGGATAGCGATTCCGATTCATGGGTTATTGATTCAGGAACCTCATTTCACGCCACTGCTAATAGAAGGCTATTTAAGAATTATGTAACAGGGGACTTTGGGAAGATATACTTAGGGGATAATGAACCCTGTAGTGTCATTGAAAGGGACGACGTGCAAATACAGCTGAAGGGCTTTAAGTGGTCTCTAAAGAATGTCAGACACATACAGAAGTTGAAGAGGAATCTTATTTCGGTAGGTCAGCTTGGAGCAGAAGGCTATGTTACAATATTTACCGAAGATTCGTGAAAAATCTCTAATGGTACAATGGTGGTTGCCCGAGGCAACAAGACGGGTACACTCTACCTAACTTCATACGCGAATGACACCCTCGCGATTGTTGCAGCAAAGAGAGTGCAGGTCTGTGGCACAATAGGCTGGGACACATGAGTGAGAAGGGTATGAAGATTCTTCACTTAGAAGGGAAGCTAACCGGTATCGATTCAGTGAAAGTCGGTGTTTGTGAAGATTGTATCTTCGGGAAGCAGAAGAGAGTTAGTTTTCTGAAGGGTGAAAAGCCACCTAAAGCTCACAAGCTAGAGCTTGTTCATACAGATGTATGAGGTCCAGCTAGCGTGTTTTCTCTTGGCGGTCCGGCATACTACGTCACCTTTATCGACGATCACTCGAGGAAGGTGTGGGTATACTTCATGAAACACAAGTCAGAGGTATTTAACATTTTTAAGAAGTGGAAAGCCATGGTGGAGAATGAGACAAATCTGAAAGTAAAGTGTCTGAGATCAGACAATGGTGGAGAATATGAACTGGAGGAGTTCAAGAAGTTCTGTGCTCTGAACAAGATTCGTTTGGAGAGGACTACTCCAGGGATGTCACAACAGAACGACGTAGCAAAAAGAATGAACAGAACGCTGACAGAGCATGCGAGGAGCATGCGTCTACATGCAGGTCTACCAAAAACTTTTTGGGTGGACGCGATGCATATAGCAGCGTACCTGATAAATCACGAGCTATCAGTTCCATTAAACTTTGGGATTCCGAAAGAGATTTGGAGTGATAAGAAGGTTAATCTCTCACACTTGAGAGTCTTTGGGTGCGTGACATATGTCCACATCAGTGACCATGTCAGGGACAAGCTAGAAGCTAAGTCACTGAAGTGTACATTCATTGGATACGGTATTGATGAGTTCGGGTATCGTCTGTGGGATGAGAAGAACAGGAAAATCATCAGGAGCCGAGACGTCATATTCAATGAGGAAGTGATGTACAAGGACATGAACAATGCCAAGGCGAGCCAAAGCAGTGGGAGCAGCACTACGGATGCAGACGCATCTGAGTATATGGGTTTGGAGGAACTTCCAGATGAGGGAGACAACGTTAATTCTGACCAAAAAACGGAGGAGACTCCAGGTGAAGAACCGACTACCCAGGACAAGGAGCTTAGGAGGTCATCCAGGATACCCAAACCGAATTTCAGGTATCTCTCATCACTAGACTACCTACTTCTGACAGATAGCGAAGAACCAGAATGTTATGAGGAAGCTATGCAAGTGAGCGAATCTCAGCAGTAGGAGCATGCAATGTAAGAAAAGATAGATTCCCTCCACTCGAACGAGACATGAGAGTTAGCCCAGCTATCTGCACAGAAGAAGGCCTTACATAACAAGTGAGTTTACCGAGTCAAGCAGGAGAGTGATGGAAGGAAGAGATACAAGACCAGATTAGTCGTGAAGGGGTTCCAACAGCGGGAATGAGTAGATTATATGTAGATATTTTCTCCCGTTGTGAAGCTCACAACCATCAGGATGGTGTTGAGCTTGGTAGCTGCTGAAAATCTCTACCTTGAGCAGTTAGATGTGAAGACTGTCTTTCTTCATGACGACTTGGATGAAGAAATCTTCATGAAGCAACCTATTGGCTTCATTGAGGAAGGAAAGGAAGAGATGGTATGTAGGCTAAAAAAGAGCTTATACGGATTGAAACAGGCTCCACGGCAGTGGTATAAGAAGTTAGATAACTTCATGTAAAGCAATGGCTATGGCAGATGTAATTCAGATCATTGCTGTTACTTCAAGAGGTTCGAGTCCAGCTATATCATGTTATTGCTATATATCGATGACATGTTAGTTACAGGACCGTATTTACAGGAGATAAACAAGCTGAAGAAGCAGTTAGCAAAGGAATTTACCATAAAGGATCTGGGTGTAGCGAAGCAGATTCTTGGGATGCGGCTGAGGGGACGTTGAAGTTGAGACAGTCTGAATACATTGAGAAGGTACTTCAAAGATTCAACATGCAGAATGCTAAGGTTGTTAGCACGTCCTTTGGAAGTCAGTTCAAGTTATCTGGTGAACAATCACGCAAAACTGATACAGAGAAGGAGCACATGAGGAAGGTGTCGTATTCATCAGTCATTGATAGTTTGATGTACGCAATGGTTTGCACGAAGCCGGATATTACCCATGCAGTAGGAGTTATGAGCAGGTTTGTAAGCAATCCAGAGAAGCAGTATTGGGAGGCCGTGAAGTGGATATTGCGATATCTAAGAGGGACTACGAATATGCCACTGTGTTTCGGGAGAAAGGAGTCGGTACTGTAGGGATACGTGGATGCAGATTTTACCGGTGATCATGATACAAGACGAAGCACCACGGGGTATGTTTATACCTTAGGGTCGACAGCAGTGAGCTGAGTCTCACGTTTGCAGAAGATTGTGACGTTGTCCATAACTGAGGCAGAGTATGTGGCAGTGACAGAAGCGAGCAAGGAGATGATTTGATTAACCGGGTGTCTGGAAGAGTTGGGTTTGAAGCGGGGGAACAGTGTTCTTTATTGTATAGCCAGAGTGCTATACACCTTGCCAAGAACCCAGTATTTCATGCCAGAACGAAGCACATCGAGTTACGTTACCACTTCATACGTTCGATGATTGAGGACGGGAAGTTACAGTTAAAAAGGATTTTAGGGAGTCAAAATCCTGCAGATATGTTGACTAAAGCAGTCACCATTCAGAAACTGGAGTTATGCGCAACTTCAGTTGACCTTCATATGTAGAGATGAGGGCGGAGCCACATGTTGAGAAGATGCTTGTTAAGAGAGAGCTTGCTGATAGCGGTATGGTCTCCAAGTGAGAGATTGTTGAAGATAGGTGTAGACCCATACCTGTCAGCGGCAAACTTGAGGCCGACGGCGAGCTCAGGCGAGGTCGAACAGCTCAGGCGAAGTCGCGAATCTTGCTGCAGGCGAGCTCGTGGCGCGGAGGGCTACAGGCGATCTCTTGGGCAGTCGGGCGAACTCGAGCAGGCGGATTTGAAAAGCTTCTGGCGAGTTCGGAGAAGCCCCGCTAGCGAGATCCCCTTGCAGGCGAGCTTTGGAGTTGGTCTTACAGGCGAGATTGAAGTCGACGATTCCAGGTGAATTCGAAGACTACAGGCGAGCTCGAATCTGAGTGCGGAACAGCTGGCTACAGGCGAGCTCGAGAGAAGATCTTGCAGGCGAGATTTGAATGAGGGTTGAGCAGGCGATTTCCAAGTTCGCCTCCCTCTTTGGGTGTTTCTTCGCCTGCGGCTGGTGGGGAACAGCTGGACACAGCTGTTCTGGCCCTAGGGTTCTCCTATAAAAGAAGAACTGTGCACGAGAAGAAAAGTGAGAAGAATCTCAGAGCGATTTTTGAGAGCTGGGTGGCGGCGTTCTTTTCGAGCGCCTTCTTCTCCTCCCCGATCTTTTGAGCACGAGATTTCAAGTGAAAATCTCGGTTATTAAAGAGAGTTCCTATAGCAGATTTATTGAGGAGAGAGGGGATTTTCAAGTTGGAAAATCTCAGCGCCTTTTGTTTGAACAACAGATAGTTTCTGTTGGTTTTTTTTCTTGAGAGATCTCAAGTTTTGAGATCTGCTCTTTACAAGCTTTGTAATCTTCTTTAATATAAAGGAAATTATTTGTGTGGCTCCCGAGGACGTAGGCAAGTTGCCGAACCTCATTAAATTCGGTGTTCTTTGTTCTTGTTATTTTAATTTGTTGTGATTTCTTTTTTTTTCATTGCTTAACACAAGATCCGGTAGGGCAAATTCCGCAGAACGGGTGTCAGAGCGTATCTGTTATTTCCCCAACAAGCCTCCCTTAATTCATGAGATATAGATGCAATTTACCCAACTTTTCATAGGTCACACTTGAATAGAATGGACACTTGCTTAACTACGAGAATATTTCACTTTCTTATATACATGGAAGCTTCTTCATGGAGAATCTGTCTGGATTGCAGGATGACTCTCTTACTTGGACCTCCAGGATGCGGAAAAACTACTTTGTTCCTATCACTTGCAGGGCAGTTAGACAAGAATCTCAAGGTTTTTGGCCTTTCTACCTACTCCTAGAAGGCATATTCATAACAACTATACTGTTTCTATCTATTTTTGTTTCCCTGTAAATACTCTTTTAACAAAACCTAAAACGTATCCCGCGACTCATAACTCATGAAATAAGATTCCATAACAACATTAATTATCTTATGTAGTGTCTCAAAAAGTGAAAAAAGTTACATTTTGATCCAAATTTTCTACTACTTTTAATTTGGATGTTTCCATATGTATGAAGCTTATTTAAAATGATTGGTTCAATAATATGCGCTATTTTCAGCTACATCAGAGGGACAGTATAAATTTAGCCTATTGAGTGTTATATCTTGCAGCTTCTGATAATAGCTTGAACACACTATACAAGTTACCACACAAATACACGGGCGCGCACACAAACACACACACCCCACTCCTAGTGCACACACATGTGGTCGCATGCACACACACAACACACACACAAAACACACACACACATACACACACATTTATCCCGTTACATTTCACCAAGAACACCAGGTGCAATGTATCTTTTAAAAATGATTTTTTTCAAGTGCAATTTGCATTATCGGTGTACTTTCCTAACAAGATATATTCAATTGAACACATAATGTTGACTATATAGCATGCAGCATCTACTTAAAGATAATCAAGAGGAATTATAATCAATATATCTGTCTCATTTCTATTGTATGCTACAACATAAATAATCAATTATGGCATGGAGCAATTTGCGTCAGTCTGTAAAATGGAAGAAAAGATGCTAACAGATCAGGTCTATTCTATGTAATTAGTAAAGAATATTGGGACAGAATAGTAAAAATGTTTGATGAACTAAATTGGAATAATCAAGAGGAATTATAATCAAGATATCCCTCTCATTTCTATTGTATGCTACAACATAAATAAATAGTTATGGCATGGAGCAATTTGTGCCATTTTGTAAAATGGAAGAAAAGATGCTAACATATCAGGTCTATTCTATCATTCTATGTAATTAGCAAAGAATAGTGAGATGCAATAGTACAAACATTCGACGAACTAAAATGCGAGAAATATCAAGTATTAGCCCACATGTTTTAGTAGTATAAAAATGTCTTCTATATCTGTACCTTTTCCTCTCAAATGTTCAAATTTGCTTCTTCGGTAGCTTATATCAACATGTTTATCCTTCCTTGTTCTTTCCATTAAAGGTTTATCCTCTTCTTTGTCCTTGGTGATCAGTTTATAAAGCTTAAGCTTAAGATGATGAGTGATGGGTAAACAATTTCTTCACAACACAACTTCCAACATCATGAACATCATCTACAATTTTCATAGAACAACATACAAGGACGTCCTGATGCTCCACTTGAATTGTGTGCTCATGATATAATGTCAATGCACTACTGTTCTAGTTCTACTGCATAGTTTTTACTTGTTAAGTTTTGGATGAACAACATCAGAGTATATGCCCACTACAAATAGCAATTGATGATTCACACAACTTCTCATTCTTTACTAGTTTATAAATTTCCATTAATACTATATCTGTTCCTTTTGCTCTCATTCTTAACTATTTTATAAATCTCCTACTCAACAGCATGCTATCAGCAATTACTGGATTCCACCAAAACAAATATTATTTCCAAGTAATTTGACAAGTGTTGTGGGTTAGTTTCAATATAAAATTTCAACCTTTTGTGAAGGATTTTATATCACACAGGTAACAGGAGAAATTTCATATAATGGCTTCAGATTGGAAGAGTTTGTGCCGGAGAAAACAGCAGCTTATGTAAGCCAATATGATCTGCACATTCCTGAGATGACAGTGAGGGAGATTTTGGATTTTTCCGCACGCTTTCAAGGTGTTGGAAGTAGAGCTGGTAAAGTCTTCTCATTATTAAAATCATTGTCTAGATACCTAACATCCATCTCAAAATATTATCCTAAATTCAAACTGTTTTTACCCATAAAGAAATTATGAAGGAAGTCAGTAGAAGGGAGAAGCAGGCTGGAATTATCCCTGAACCTGACATAGATACATACATGAAGGTATCCTTTGCCTCTTTTCATGCTATTTCTTCTTGAACCAGGAATACTAGATTATCCTCACGTTGTGTCCTGCACTACAAATGAACTGAAGAAAGGATTTGTTGAATGTAGGCAATTTCTGTGGAGGGATTAGAACGAAGTCTCCAAACAGACTATATACTGAAGGTAATTGTCCCCTCCTCAACGAAAGGAAAAGCAGAAACTAAAATTTTGCATAGCATACCCAGAAGCTAGTTGATATCAGAATAATTTCACTTACACAAATGTTTGGTTAGCAGATAATGGGACTGGATATATGTGCAGATACAATGATTGGAGATGTCATGAGAAGAGGGATCTCGGGTGGCCAAAAGAAAAGATTGACAACAGGTAATGTGAAAAAGGAAAGGAAACATGCTTCAACAATTCTTCTCTGCTTATTATTATTATTTCGTTCTAGATAACAACATGATATACTACAACTTCAATTTCTTATGTTCAGTGATACTAACTGCTTCTGTATGCAAACTGACTAGCTGAGATTATTGTTGGACCGACAAAAGCTCTATTTATGGATGAAATATCAACCGGATTAGACAGCTCCACAACATACCAAATTGTTTCTTGTTTTCAACAGTTGGCTCACATCACAGAAACTACTATCGTAGTTTCACTTCTCCAGCCTGCTCCTGAGACCTATGATCTCTTTGACGATGTCATCCTAATGGCTGAAGGGAAGATTGTATATCATGGTCCTCGTAATGAAATTCTTAATTTTTTTCAAGAATGTGGTTTCAAATGCCCAAAGAGGAAAGGAGAAGCTGAGTTTTTGCAGGAGGTAACAAGAATGATGTCATAATTTACATATCTCTTGTTCTTACAGATCCTCAAAACTGGTTCTTTTTTTAAATACATGTTCAGGTATTGTCCAGAAAAGATCAAGAACAATATTGGTCTCATCCACAAGAACCATATCATTATGTCTCAGTAAATCAGTTTCGCGAGAAATTTAAGGCATCCATTGTTGGACATAAACTTGAAGAGGATCTATCAAAGCCCTATGACAAGTCTCAGTGTCATGAGAGTGCTTTATCTTTCAGCATTTATTCACTAGCAAAGTGGGAACTATTCAAAGCCTGCATGGCGAGGGAACTTCTTCTGATGAAGAGGAATTCCTTCGTGTACATATTCAAAACAACTCAGGTATATACTACTCTCCAGGGTTAATTTTTTTTCTTTTGGTCATACGAAAAATAAGCATTCAGCTGAAACAGTTATACACCCCTTCTTGCAGCTCTCCCTTACTGCAATCATCACAATGACTGTTTTCCTACGCACACGTTTGGGTGTTGATGTTTTTCATGCCAATAGCTACCTCGGAGCACTGTTTTACACACTAATCATCAATATGGTCAATGGATTTCCAGAGTTGGCTATGACTGTTTCAAGACTACCGGTGCTCTACAAGCAGCGAGATTTTTACTTCTATCCTGCATGGGCTTACGCAATTCCCGCTTTTCTCTTAAAATTCCCTATCTCTTTGATAGAGTCTTTAGTATGGACATCTATTACTTATTATGGAATTGGATACAGCCCAGAGGCAGTAAGGTAGCTTCTGGAGTTTTCGAACTGTTTCAACTCTAACGTTGAGAGAGATGCGTACATATCTGATATCTCTAATCAGCTTTCCTCTCATGTCTTATTAGGTTTTTCCGTCAATTTCTTCTACTTTTGGTTGTGCACCAGATGTCACTTTCTCTATTTCGTTTTCTTGCCTCATATTTTCAGACAGTAGTGGCTTCTTCGGTTAGTGGTACCTTGTCTTTACTAGTTCTCCTGGTATTTGGGGGTTTCATTCTCCCACATCGTAAGTCCATTCCTTACATATGCTAAACTTGTGATTCCTTCCGTATTTCAACCAACCAGTTTACACTTACCACTAGTCTAACCAGGAAAAGCCCAATTACCCCAGAGTATAAAAGCATACACACATAGAGATAAAGGGACATAATGTGCATATCAATACATACAAATAAAAAAAAAGTCAAATGAAATAACGTTACCAAGTGAAAATAAAATGGATGTAATTTTCCATTGCAGACTCTATGCCTGGCTGGTTAAAATGGGGATTTTGGTGTTCCCCGTTATCATATGCAGAGATAGGCTTGGCAGTAAATGAGTTTCTTGCACCACGGTGGGGAAAGGTGATGCAACAACCAATTACAAGCTTCTCACATTGAATGTCTCCCAAACTCCCAAACTTTCTGAATAATTTCCTATTTCACAGATTTCATCAGCAAATACAACTATAGGAAAGCAAGTTTTGACAAGCCGAGGACTGGACTTCAATGGCTATTTTTACTGGATATCAGTGGGTGCCTTGGTCGGATATATTTTACTTCTCAATGTGGGATTTACTTTGGCGATAACTCTCAGAAAACGTAAGCCATGTTAACTAATTGTAATGGAAAAGAAAATATTTCGTTACCACTCTCAAGTTTACTATTTAAATGATGATTAATATTCTTGGGCTGGGAGAGATATTGAATTCTATTGTATTTTCTTACAAGAAAAAGCAACTGACAAGAAGATACTAATTTCAGCACCAGTGGCATCTCGAGCGATCATCTCCCGCGAGAAACTTTCTCAAATAAAGAGAGAAGAAGGCTCCAGTAATGCAATGGACTTAAAGAATATATCCAAAGATGCATCTTCTGGAACTTCCGCAGAAAATAGGAGAACAGGTAAGGCTGCCTTGTTCCTTTCACCATTGCATCAAGAAAACTTAAAAGAAACAAGGTAGACTAAAATTTAAGGAAAACATTGCTGCAGGTAGAATGGTTTTACCATTTGTTCCTCTCACAGTAGCCTTTCGAGATATTCAATACTATGTCGAAACTCCTCTGGTAATCACGTTAAATGGTTACTATATGCTAAGACTAATGCATAAGGAAATTTGCTTTAATGATGCTCATATTAACCTAAACACCAGGAAATGAGAGAACAAGGCCATGCAGAAAAGAGACTACAGCTCCTCCACAATATTACAGGTGCATTCCGTCCTGGAATTCTGTCAGCGCTGATGGGTGTCAGTGGTGCAGGAAAGACCACACTATTGGATGTTCTCGCTGGAAGAAAAACAGGGGGTACTATTGAAGGGGGCATAACAATTGGAGGATATCCTAAGGTACAACAAACATTTGCCAGGATATCAGGTTACTGTGAGCAGAGCGACATACATTCTCCACATATTACTGTAGAAGAGTCAGTAATATATTCAGCTTGGCTGAGGCTTCCATCTCAAGTTGATCGAACAACTAGATCGGTGAGTTTTTTTGCATAAAGTAGTATCATAATTCTCATACAATCACGCATCTAAACAAGCTAGGACAATAATACTGCTTGTTCAAGTTTAGATATAACTCTTGCCTGTAAACGGGTGGACTGAACATAAAACTGTTATGTTTGATCATCAGGATTTCGTTGATGAAGTCCTTGAAACAATTGAGCTTGATGGAATCAAAGACTCTTTAGTGGGGATACCTGGTATCACTGGATTATCTACTGAACAGCGGAAAAGACTGACAATTGCCGTAGAGCTTGTTGCAAATCCCTCCATTATATTCATGGATGAACCAACGTCAGGTTTGGATGCTAGAGCAGCAGCAATTGTTATGCGTGCCGTAAAAAATGTTGTTGGGACAGGAAGAACAGTGGTCTGCACTATTCACCAACCTAGTACTGATATATTTGAGGCATTTGATGAGGTAATAATTGATTATCTTGCAAAAAATAGAAACTACCACAGCTTAAACACAGCAAAACAGAAACATGATTTACAAGGCAGATGAAATTGTAACCTGAAAGGTTTATAACCAAAGTGCATCTTTGCATTCCACTGACTTGACTAACACGGTGCCGTGAAAAGTATTGGACATTGTTTTCATTCTAAATTCATGTGATGATTTTTATTTGCCAATTAAACCTAAATTGTGACAGTTGACGGACATAATTCTCACTAAACCGTGTAAGAATATAAAATTAATAAATATCAACTGTCACCAAAATCTCACCACAACTCTGGGGTAGTGGTGTAGTGGAAGATGCCTTTGACAAACAGAGGAAAAACTATGGAAAATGATAGGGGCACACCCCCAACCACATCCCAAACCACACCCCCTCTCATATGCTACAGTGCACCAGGCCCCACATGAGATTTTAAAATTTTAAAATCTTATGTGGGGCCCGGTGTACTGTAGCATATGAGAGAGGGGTGGTTTGAGATGTGGTTGGGGGTGTGCCCCTAGTGCCACCCAAAAACTATTTCATCAGCAGATGAAAACCATCTACATGATCAGGAAGTTATACAATTTCCCTGTTTTGACTATACATTTGCAGAATGCATACAGGTCAATGTAGCAAAGGATATTATTGAGAAATTAGGGCTTCAAGTTATCCTTCATTGATAGAATTGTTGGCTTATATAGCCTTACACACACTTACACAAAAGCCCTCTAACACTCTTTAATTACATTACATTCTCAACACTCCTCCTCAAGATGGGCGAAAGATATCTATTAAGCTCATCTTGTTATACTCTCTAGCTAGATCTACTGAGCTAAGCCCTTTAGTCAAGCAGTCTGCAGCCTGCTCCTTAGTTGGAACATGGCCGAACTCCAGTAGCCCACTGTTCAGCTTCTCCTTGATAAAAAATCTATCAATCTCGATGTGCTTAGTTCTGTCAAGCTGAACTGGGTTATTGGCAATGCTGATAGCTGACTTGTTGTCGCACCACAAACTCATCTTGGCCCCTTGGTCAAGGTTCAGCTCCACCAGCATGTTCTTCAGCCACATCAACTCTGCAACCTCTAAGGCCATGGCTCTGTACTCTGCTTCAGCTGTTGATCTCGCCAACACAGATTGCTTCTTGCTTTTCCAGGAGACTAAGTTACCTCCTACAAATATGCAATACCCTGAGGTAGACCTCCGATCATCTCCACAGCTAGCCCAATCTGAGTCATAGTAGCCCTCAATATTCACATGGTCACTCCTCCTGAATCTTTGTCCTTTGCCAGGGGCACCCTTTAGATACCTCAGTATCTGATATACTGCATCCATATAACCCTTCCTCGGATCATGCATGTAGCGACTCACCACGCTTACCACAAATGAGATGTCTGGACGTGTATGACTAAGGTAGATCAGCCTGCCCACCAATCTCTGATATCTCTCACGATCAACAGGTTCTCCTGCCTCAGCACTCAGCCTGAAACTCTGATCAATCGGTGTAGCAGCAGGCTTGCACCCCAACATACCCGTCTCTGCAAGAAGATCCAGTGCATACTTCCTTTGGGAGAGAACAATCCCCTTAGGTCCATGAGCTATCTCTATCCCAAGAAAGTATCGAAGCTGACCCAGATCCTTCACTTCGAATTCTTTGCTCAATCTTACCTTAAGCTGAACAATCTCCTTCTCATCATCTCTTGTGATGATCATGTCATCCACATACACTGTCAGCATAGTGATGTGACCCCTACTTCTTCTGAAGAATACAGTATGGTCGGCATTGACCTGTCTGTATCCCATACCAAGCATGGCTCTCCTGAACCTATCAAACCATGCTCGAGGGGACTGCTTCAGCCCATACAGAGATTTTTTCAGCCTGCAGACCTTACCCACTGTCTGTCTTGTGCCACATCCAGGTGGTATCTTCATATACACCTCTTCCACTAGATCTTCATGAAGAAACGCATTCTTCACATTCAGTTGGTGTAGTTCCCATCCACCATTTGCTGCCAGAAAAATCAACGTCCGAACAGTACTCATCTTCGTCACTGGTGCAAAAGTCTCATCGTAGTCAATATCGTATGTCTGACTATACCCTTTTACCACTAGCCGTACCTTGTATCGTTCAACCTTCCCTTCTGGGTTCTGCTTCACGGTAAATACCCACTTGCATCCCACTGCTATTTTCCTTGCTGGCAGTGTCGCTAACTCCTACGTGTGGTTCTTCTCAAGAGCCCCCAGCTCCTCATGCATAGCTGTCTTCCACTTTGGGTCCTTCTTAGCATCCTGCCAGTTGTTAGGTATAATAACAGAATCTAATGATACAATGAATGCTTCGTGTGAAGGGAATATGTGAGAATAAGAAACAAATTGAGCTAGATCTCAACCATATCTCTCAGGAGGATTTCCCGCATTACTACGAGTAGTCCTCCTTACTGACATTGGAGTGGGAAGAGTAGTAGGAGTATGAATGGTATTACCTGAAGTGGAGGGTAGTGTAGGTGTCTCAGGAGTTGGAGCAGAGCTGGACGAGGGACTAGGCACTGGCACTGGCACTGTAGGGACTGTAGGCACCTCTGGCTCCTTACCCCTCCTACTATATGTAAGCAACTCCCCCTGAGCTGTAGGCCTAACACCCCTTGTCTCCTTCTCCTCCTCTTCGTCTTCATCCTCCTTCTCCTCTGAGTATGGAATCGAAATTGGGATTGACCTCCTTGAGCTCTCATCATTCTCCCCTTCTCGCCTCATACCTCTAGTATCGGGCAAGTCGTCAAAAGGTGAAGTAACCCCCACTGTGTAGTACAGCTTGAGCTCCTGAAACCGCACATCCATGCTGACAAACAGCCTTTTCTCCACCGAGCTTTAGCAGACATACCCTTTCTGAGTGTCATTGTATCCCACGAATATACACTTCACAGCCCTAAGGTCTAACTTCCCAACCGATGGTTTGTTGTCCTTCACAAAGCACACAGCCAAATACCTTCAATGGTAGAGCTCCCCCGTTATCTCCCTTCAGTGTCTCACGAGGTGACTTTCACTCCAACACACTCGAAGACATCCTGTTGATTAAGTGAGCAGCAGTCAAGACTGCTTGTCCCCACAACATCTTTGGGATATTCATCGTCGTCATCATACTCCTAGCAACTTCTAGGAGCTGTCTGTTCTTCCTCTCTGCTACCCCATTCTGAGCTGGAGTGTATGGACATGTAGTCTGGTGTAGAATCCCCTGAGCTGACGATACTCCCTAAGTGTTCTGTTGGTGTACTCTGTCCCATTATCCGACCTCAACACCTTTACTACTGCACAATACTGAGTCTGGATGTGCTTATGAAAATCCTTGAAACAGCCAATTACATCACTCTTGTTTTTTATAAGATACACCCAAGTGACTCTAGAAAAGCAATCAATAAATGTAACAAAAAACTTACATCCATTTATAGAGTTTACTGGGCAGGGTCACCATACATCAGAGTGTATTACTTCAAACTTATAAAAACTCCTACTACCCGAACTAACATAAGAGCTTCTAGTAAGCTTTCCAAACTCACAAGCATCACACTGAAGCTTTTGCTTATTTACTTTTTCAAACAGAGTTAGATACATTTTTCCCAAAATACCGAATGACGGATGTCCCATTGGTTGATGATAGAATATCAACTCATCTTCTGCACACACTTTAGCTCCTCTTGTTCCCGTCCTCTCAACCACAGATGTCAGAGCTGAGTCTATCCCTTTCCGGTCTAGGTACCAAGCCCGTTACGCCATGTCCCAGTCCTAAGTCTTCGTCCTGTTCCCTTCTCCTGGAAGATCACCTTGGGAATGTTAAAAAAAATAATACAATTTAATTGGAGGATAATGACACTAATGGATAACAGGCTAACAGGAAATGAAGAAGCATGCAGAATATTAGATAAAGTTATAGAACTTGTACAACTAACGGTGTCCTTACCAACCACAGCCTGTGCTGTACCATCAGCGATCTGGATACTCTCTACTTCTGCCAAGTGAGTGTAAGATGAGAACTCACTTGCATTGTCTGTCACATGTCTGGATGCTCTAGAATCCATTATCCAGGCGGTGGATCTTCCCTCGTTTGGGTGTGCGTGAAGGGCGTAATTAGCATAGTCTCCTATAGAGAAAAGTAGTTGATGTCCCCTCAGACACATCACCTACTGCTCTCTGCTTCCTCCTCAGTGCTGTCAAGAGTGCTCGATCCTCATCAGTGAAGATCATCTCAGCTTCTTCTTTCTTTTCTGCCACCGTCAAGTTTGCCCGGTGGCCTCCTCTTCCACCTCGCCTGCCTCCACGGCTACGACCACGGCCTCCAGCCTGACCACGTCTACCCCAGTCCCTCTCCTTGGATGGCTTAGGACACATCTGTCTCAGATACTCTACCTCTCCGCAGTTAAAGCACTGTCTAGTCTCCCCTCTGAATCCAGTGTTACATGGGTTGAAGACCACCAGTGCAGACTTCTCCCCTGTAAGTTCACCTGTCCCAGCCAGTAGCCTGATATGGCTCTTCTCCTGTATCATGACCAAGACTGCCTCCTCCAGTGGTGGGATCTTTGTTTGGATTAGTAGTAATGCCGTCCTCTGCTCATACGCTGGAGCTAAGCCTCGGAGGAATAACATGGTCCTCTTCTACAAAGAGGTTTCGCGCTCCTTGCACTCCGGCTCCTTGCAGCTTGTTAGGAGCGAAAAATGATCGTGATCGAACCACAAGCGCTCCAGCTCTGTGGCGTACTCCTGTACAGTCCTCTCTCTCTGGACTGTAGCGCTGATTTCCTTCTCCCACTGTGGCAGCAATAGGCTGGACTACAGAATTCAAAAACCAGATGTACACCAAAATATGAGTGGACTTCCACTCATCTATTTCTACGGAGCCCTCAGTCGGTTCAGTCTTCTTCCTTGTTAGATATCCCTCCAGGCTCCTCCCGACAAGGGTATATTTCACCCGTCGCGACCAACTTAGATATATCGCGGGTCCATCGAGCTTTACATCGATAGGTGAAAACTCCACCTTCTTGGGTGGTGGCTTTGTCGAGCCCTCACCCTTCAACAACCTCATCAGTTGCATCAGTGTTGAGATCTCATCAGGATTCAACTTTTTGATGATCTCCTCCATCGGATTTTTGCCGGTCTCCGTCATCGATCCAACTTGTATTCTTGTGATGCGTAGCGAAAAATCCGGCAACACTTCGACAGCACAACAAGAAAGTTAGATCAATAAGAATTCTTATTTTACTAAGAAAACAAGAACCAAAAGCAAAATATCTCAACAAGGTGAGATATCAGCTCTTCCTCTCATCAGTTCGAGGACTGGCCTGTCGAGGGAACCTAAACAAGCTATTACAATTCGAGAAGGAAAAGGAGTCATCTAATACGGATTACAGATTTTTTTTCTTGGTTCTAATCAGCACAACAGACAAATCTCCCTTTTTTCTTCTCTAAAAAATAAACTCCCCACGACAAACAAATCCCTTTTTTTTCTTCTTCTTCTTCCCCTACTCCGGCATGGGCCACCTAATCCTAATCCTCGAGCTCGCCAAGCTCTTCGTCACTGACTGTTTCTCTGTCGTCGCCCTGGTCGACTCCCCGTTCTCTCTCCCCCCCACCAGCTCGTCCTTCATCGCCGCATTCTCATTGGCCCACCCCTCGATCTCCTTCCACCTCCTCCTGCTCGATTAAGGACAGAATCCTTCACAACGCCATGGGAGATCGGAACAAAGGGGTCGGCATCGACGAGAGAACCAAGCCTTCTTCAACGACGTGTCCTTTGCGAGATCTCCGGCTAAGGCACCAGCGAAAGCTTCGGCAAAGTGTCCGACGAAGAAGGCTGCACCGACGAAGAAGGCTGCACCGACAAAGGAGCAGATTTGGGTCTGCTGGCGTTGGAGATAGGTTTGGTCGGGACTTCGGCTGACGTCGTCTTCGTTGTCGACGAACTTGGGAATGTCGGGAAAGAAATCGTCGGGTTCACCAGACAAACGGAGAGGCGGCTAGGTTAGATAGCTCTGATACCATATTGAGAAATTAGGGCTTCAAGTTATCCTTCATTGATAGAATTGTTGGCTTATATAGCCTTACACACATTTACACAAAAGCCCTCTAACACTCTTTAATTACATTACATTCTCAACAGATATTTATACTCTAAAATTCTTAAAGAGCCCTAATTACTTATACATTAAACTGATTATTTGAATAAATTGATTATTTGAACTATAGTCAATGGAGAGTTCTTCTTCCTATACCTTGAGTTCTTGCTACGGCCATTAAATGAATGACTTCTTTTGTTTGGATTACTTTTTCTCCGCCATTTGATTCAGTTTTTTCCGGATTTTTTTTCATCTTCATGCAGCTAATTCTCATGAAAAGGGGAGGTGAATTGATATATGCTGGGCCATTGGGTCAGCATTCAACTAAAGTTATTGAGTACTTCGAGGTAAGTTTTTCATATGCATGATCTTCTCAGGATACAAAGTTTACTTATAAGATGGGTTGAGATATCTAAGAGGCTTCTTTCTTTAGTCTATTGTAGAATGCATAGATTAAACTGATCTTAAGATTCTGCCTACAGTATGTGTCTCCTTACAACATGCACAAAGGAAGCAACTTAATGTTTGCCTTCGCCAAAATCATCAAATTCATTGTTATCAATCATCACATTGCAAGATCTTATGAATATCACATATACAGAAACCACAATTCCAATAGTTTATCGGTTACAAATACCTGCTATAAAACTGCCTAGATTAATTAAGGAATACTAACCTTAATTTATCAAATAAGTTACTCAAGTATCAAAGAAGTGATGAATTGTGAGTGTCAAGTTAATAGTACCAACTTTGGGGAAGCACCATGCGCCAGACAAAAGAAAGGATAATTATCCTGAGAAAAGTAAGTCAGAAAATAGGATGTTGTACTTTTGAAAGATGAGATATGCACGATATGATTATGCACCAAATTAGTTTCTTAAACAGATCATAAACAGGCAATAGACAATAGCTATTTAGTATAATATGGTACACGTAGTAGCTTGGTAACAAAAACAATATATCCAGTTACCCTTGAAATGCCAAAAAATGTGATCAATATAAATCATAGTTGATGCATTAAGAACTCAGCACACTTCATTTTGATTGAGGAAACTTAAGGAAATGGAACTATTATTTCCATAAAGAGCGGTGTTAGAGGCACACCATGAGGCACACCTCCGGTCACACTCCCCCACCTGCTACAGTGCAGGGGGCCCCACAGGAGATTTTTTTAAAAATCTCCTGTGGGGCCCCCTGCACTGTAGCAGGTGGGGGCGTGTGACCGGAGGTGTGCCTCATGGTGTGCCTCTAACATTTCTTTTCCATAAATCATAAAACAAAACAGTATGGGAAAGGAGGGAGAAAGCATATATTTTATGGGAACAAATGAACTCTAAGCAGCGGTAAGGTAACAGCTAAGAGCACATCAATAGCAGATGAAGCCTTGCATTCAATGCATATAAATATGAAGGCTCAAACAGTGAAAACATACATGTTAGTTATTTGGTTAACCAGTATAACTAATAAGTTACTATTTGAACTTGTGATGCATAGATAAAAGGTAGGAAATGCAATAACTTTGGGTTTTTACATTTTAGAATTTGTGCCTTTAATATCCAATAGCGATATATGATGTTCAACAATGAAATTGATGTTGCAAGTATGAGAACAACGCAAAATTAAGAAAACACTAAGAGAGAATGTTTTTAACTGCATCTAGAAAGATTTCAACATAGTTTTACCTGAAGGGTATCCAAACATAATGCCAAACAAGATCAAGATTTCTTAGCCATAACATGTACAGCTCATTTGTAAGAGAGACACATCACTTGAGTTTGGATACTATAAAACAATTCTTCATCTCAGTAAAACTATAAATTTGGCATCCTCATCCCGTTTACTTGCTTCCTGCACATAAAGATGGGTACATTAAAAAAAAAAGAAATGAACAAAAATGAAGCGATATTTAAAACAAACCCTGAAATATATGTGTCAAATATCCAAAAAATCTAGAAAATCAAGGAACCAAATAGACACTTAGCAATCAACTACACAGATGCAACTACTTGGATTACACCAAAAAAAAGGTAAAAGAAAATAAAATTAGAGGCAGACTGATATTTAACGAGGAAAGATAAAATGAACTAATATCAGAATGAACCCAAGTAGACACTAGTCATCAACTATGACATATGGTACATTAAAAGTTTTTCAAAGTAAGGGAAAATGAATTAGGTCAATAAGGAAATAAGAAATGAAGAAAAGCAGGTAGCAAGGAATTTGACTGGTTGCTTGTCCCAGGCTTATAACTTGACTTCATGGACTTGGCCGTTTAAGAACAGAGCACTGAATAAGCTACATAGGTAAGTACTAAGAAGTGAAAGAATGCACAAAATACTAATGAATGGCATAGCAAACTAGACAGACTATCTGCTGATTGAGTTTAATTGCATATTTAATCTAAAAGAAAGAGCTGCATGAAGTAACAAACAAATATATGTTCTGAATCCTTCAGAATAGTTAACCAATAAACAAATAGATGTTCATGAGGTAGAAGGATGTAGCAAGAGGAACACGATCATGATTGACAATGAATTATTCATGTAGTTAGGATATGAGTCATTTGAACCAAACGACAGACACAATATTCGGTCTAGTACACTTGACTGTTATCCGGTTTCAATATGCTTGTGGACGAAAATATAGCAGGTAAGTTTATATTGTATTTAAGCGAAGTCATAGTATAATAATATATCACATTTCAGGTCTATACACAATATACATTATAGTAATTACATTAAACTGAAGGATCTTACTTTCTTACTGAATCAGGGTATTGCTGGAATACCAAGGATAAGGAATAATTATAATCCAGCAACATGGATGTTGGAAGTTACCTCTACATCTGTTGAAGCGCAACTTAATGTAGATTTTGCACAAATATACAAAAGTTCGTCACTCTACAGGTGAGTTAATAACTGATGGCTAGATGCTTAAATTAATCTGTCCATGCTAAGATGTATATATAAGTGATCGTTGATATCAAACATGACCAAGTAATCACAACAAATTTTTAAAAAAAAATTTATTTAGGTCATTGTGATTGTTACCTTGTTTTCCAATCTTACTGAATTTTCAGGGATAACCAAGAGCTAGTCAAACAACTGAGCAAACCAGCACCAGACTCAGCTGAGCTACATTTCCCCACCCGTTTTCCGCAAAACGGTTGGGCTCAGTTCAAAGCTTGCTTATGGAAGCAGTACCTGTCATACTGGAGAAGTCCTTCATATAACTTAGTGCGCTTGATATTTATAACTATTTCTTCAACGGTATTTGCAGTTTTGTTCTGGAAGCATGGGAACACAATGTAAGTCATCATATTTATTCAGGCGCCTTAACTTTGAATATTCTAATAACTCTTCTAACTGAAATTTGTTTACCGTCAATTGCAGCTAGAAATACATTTTGCAGATTGCATTTCCAATTGCAGTTGCAATTTTTAGTGAACCAACCATCTTCTACATGATAATAAATCTTCAGTCAGATTCACCGAAAAGAGAAAATCTAGAAAATGCAATAATGCCACAAAGGCGAGATCCAAAACACAATCACATAGCTAGCAGATCGTTTATCAGATGCAATATTTCCCATGGTCAGATGAGACATAGGAGACCATGATTCTTGTTAAACGAACAAAAGTGACATAGGAAGGGAATTGCTAGATTTCTTGCATGATAGTCTATTACAGAGGCAAAGCTTTATTTCATTATAATAAGTAGCTTTGTGACCTTTGTCTCTATCCTATTGAAATGAATAGATAATATATCGGAAAGAAAAGGTCATACACATTGCAGAGTCTTCATTTAGAATACAAGTACAGGTTGACTATGTCTGCTAAAGCTGAATTTACGCTATTCAAGTATTAAAACTACAAGGTAAGAACCTTAACAGACATGGATGTAAATAAAAAGAAAGTTTAAGGTAAAAAATTCTTTGTTAGCGTCTGTTAATCTCATTCTGAGTTATTGACCATTGTAAGTTAATGGCGGGTAATGTTCTTTACTTTCGTTTCACCCATCAGGAGATGATGTTTCTGGAACTTGTGAACAATCAACTTCTGAAAAGCTAAGCTTTATTGATAAGTGAATTATAGATGACGAAAATATCACATTACTTGCATATCATTCTTGAGAAAATGAATATAGAATTAAATCAGGCTTGAACTTTTGAAGTGATAAATTACACAATATAACCCAAATTTTTGGTCTCTGGAAGGAAATTTACAATTATTATCTTCCTTAGAGGCAAGCATGATCCAGAAAAAAAATAAAAATAAAACTAATTTTCAAATACAAGCTGAGTTTTGTGTGCTACCTAATCAGACAGTCAAGACAAATAAGAAACGAAAGAATATTGTAAAATGTTAATCAGTGCTTTGACTTGGGCATAACTCCTCTCATATCTAGACTTGAGGAGTCATCTAATATAGGTATATAAACAATAATGTCAAGAACTAAAGCAGTCCTGATAATAATTCTCTGCATTGAACATATTTCACAGAACAACAACATATTAAAAACTGGATTCTATTTTCAAAAAAATAATACAGAAGGTACTGATGATGTCACTGTTTGTTTTGTTTGTTGAAGAAACAACCAACAAGATCTGTTCAACATATTTGGATTGTTGTATATTACTACAAATTTCTTCGGCATAAACAATTCGTCATCAGTTTTGACGTTTGTAGCAACTGAACGCACTGTTCTCTACCGTGAAAGATATGCAGGAATGTACTCTCCATGGGCCTACTCATTTGCACAGGTTAATCAGCTCTCTTGATATTTTGTGTGTAAAATACGAATAGCCTACATGAATTTTAAGCAAGTTCTGATGTTTTCCCTATTTTCTGCAGATGGTTATTGAGATTCCTTATGTATTCATCCAAGTAGGACTGTTCATGGTCATCATATATCCAGCAATTGGGTTTTATTGGTCGGCTTATAAGTTCTTATGGTTCTTCTTCACAATGTTCTGCACATTGCTCTATTTTGTTTACCTAGGAATGTTGATTGTTTCTTTGACCCCTAATGTTCAAGTCGCTTCAATATTGCAATCTCCCTGCTATGCCCTTTTAAATCTCTTCTCAGGCTTTATGGTCCCAAGCCCAGTAAGTGTTCCTTCACTTCTCTTAACTATTAACATGGAAGTCATTCTGTCAAGTGTCAATCCTGCTGCTAGATATTTGTTCTCAAGAACTTTTCAGTAACATACTAGTCTACTATAAATCGACTGCCAAGCTAAACCCAGTTATATTTCTTAGACAGTCTTGGATAGAATCAGTGACACAACATATTTGTAAACTAATTCTAATTCCAAAAAGCTACGTTGATTTTTTGCATGGTTTAGTGGTCAGCAAGGTTTTAAATATCGGTTATCGGGGATTTATCGGACGGTCAAAATCCTTATCGGATAGCGGAAATCGGGGATATATCGGGGATAAGTAGTATTTATCGGAGTGATATAGTGGATGATGTATATATATAATATAATAACTAAAAATGTAATCTAACCATGCTTAATAAAATATAAACATACCAAAATGTAAATAACCATGTTTAGAATCACTAACCAATTGTTGAAAGAGAAACTTGCATCTCGACCGCACGATGAAACCATTCAATTGCATAGCCTTGAAAAAAAAATATAATGTTAGTCAAAATGGAATAATAAACAAGCAAAGGATAAGATAACATCACGAATAAAGAACCATCTAGGCATGTATAATGTTAGTCAAAATGTAATAACAAACAAGCAAAGGATAAGATAACATCATGAACAAAAGCTAATCAACAATCACCCAAGTTCCAAAAACAACAAATAGTTCATAATTCTAAACATTCAAATAGCAAATCCAAAAGAAAGCAAAGCTGCAAAAGCAAAGATAACTAAATTAATCTTCATCGGAGCTAAATGTTGGAATATTATCCATTCCCTCATCTGAATCAGACTCCGAAGATTCCATGTCTTCCTCCTCATCTTCCAAAGGCTCCTTTCCCTTTGATGAAGATTCCCCGAACTTTTTCTTTCTTTTATATTGTTTTGTTCTAACACTCTTCCTCTTTTTAGGATTAGCTCCAATGAGATCTCCATATTGCCTCAAAGTAAAAGATTCCCCCGCAAACACTTCATCATCGCTCAAATCATGATGACCTCCTCTATTCTTTGTAGTCATCAACCACTCGGAGGACCTTTCTTCATCATCAAAGGCTATTAAAGGATCTCTATCCTTGTTGGAATGCTTATTCTTCAACCTTGCATTGAACTTGACGTAGACCAAATCATGCAATTTCCGATGCGTTAGTCTATTTCTCTTTTTTGTATGAATCTACAAATTAGAATCACAAAGGACAAATTAGTTTCAAATGTCATCCAATATGATTTAAAGTTAAAAAGAGCCATTACCATCTCGAATACCCGGATTATTATTAGGCTTTTTTGCTTCTCTCTTTGCAAGTTCTCTCCCGAATGATCCTCTTTGATGCTGATAATCAGAGAGTTGGTCTCCAATCTTGCCAAGCATGTCACCATCATCTGGATAGAATTTGTTCATACAATCAACAAGGCAACTCAAGAAACTTCCATCTCTTTCAATCTCCATAAGATTTGGATAGTAGAAATAAGGATTTAAATAATATCCTGCTTTATGGAGTGGTTCTTTAAGCTTGGCATCAAATCTCTTATCAATAATCTTCTCTATAAGAAGATATTTCTTCTCTTCATCCTGAAAGGCCTCTTTGATCTCCTCCTTAGCCTTCATCATGTCTCCATACACAAACCCCATTGAGGGGATTTTATCACCATCTACTCTCCTTAGAACCTTCACCAAAGGAGAAAAAACTCTAAGGGCAAGATCAACGTTGTCCCAAAACTTGTTGCTATGAATAATCTCAGTAACCTACAAATAGTCAAAAATCATAATAATCAGTAATACAATAGAATTATATATTCTAAAGCAAATGAATATTTTTAGTTATTAGTTACAAACTTTAACTTTTAAATTATATTGTACCTTTTTCCCCGCTTCTTTTGTTGAAAGCTCGCATTCCATCCATTCATTAGAGACAAACATTTGCTTCAACACTTTCTTTTTATCTCTCAATGATTCCAAAGCAAGGAAAGCTGTGGCAAATCGTGTCACCCCGGGTCTAACAAGGTCCCCACGTGCAAATTCTCTCATCACATGAAGAGATCTCGTGTGGCTATAGATGTATATCGACACAGTTCTTCCCATTGCAATTGCACTCCGAATAGGTCTTATTTTGGCTATATCGGCTAACATCAAATTAATAGTGTGTGCCGCACAAGTTGTCCAAAATATATTTGGCTTCTTAATTGCTAAGCTTTTTGCGGCTGCCATGTTATTTGAAGCTCCATCTGTGACAATTTGCACAACATTCTGTGCCCCCAACTCTTCAATTGCTTTCTCCACATAGTTGCATATATAATTTGCATCATGCTTGTCGCCCGATGCATCACATGAACCCAAAAATGCTGTTCCTCCATCTGAATGCACAACTATATTCATAATACTTCTCATCTTTCGATCACTCCAAGCATCGGTCAGTATGGAGCACCCGTTAAGTGCGCAACTCTTCTTAAATTTTTCAATGATCTCCCTTGTCTCATCCACCTCTCTCTGCAGAATAGTCTCCCTCAATTCATATGGTGTCGGAGCATCCAAGAAGGCTCCAAACTTTCCAATAGCCTGCACCATTTGTAAGAAAGAAGGAATACTTGCGGTATTAAAAGGGATGCCGGCTTCATAGAACCATCTCCCAATGTACCTGTTCACATCATCTCTTGCCTTCTTCCTATACTTGCTGTCCATCACTGGTTGTTTCATTTTTAATACTAGTTCGGCCGACTCCTCATGAGAGCGGCTCGCAAAAGCGTCCATTGGCCCTTTCGTCTTGAAGGAGGAGGATGATGAGCTTCTCTGACTCTGAGTAGATGCGGTCACACTCCCTTCATATCCCTCTTCCTCCCCTATATGAACGTCATCGAGTAAATTCTGCATTTTCAACTCCTTTGCACCCTTATTCTTCTTAGCACTATCAATGATTTCATTTACTTTTTTCTTCACATCTTCGGGGACCTTCTCACACGGCAAACAATTCCCTTTGATTCCAGCCAAGTGTTGTTTGAACCGGCTTATGCCTCCACACATAGACTGCCCACAAAACTTGCACCGAACCTTTAAAGCATCATTACCAACCCGCTCAGCATATGCCCAACAAGAATCTTTACCGGCTGGCTTTGGTGGTTTATTAGATGCTTGGCCTTCAGAAGACATTCTCCTGTCAACATGAGATAGTAAACCATAAACACAAGTTTGAAAATAAAATAGCAACACAATTACACAATTGTATATTTATTTTATTTATTTCACCACGTCATAAAATTTTATGCCTAACACTGACTTGTTCTATTTTGTTGCAGACTTGAGATCAAAATGACATCAAGATTTTAAGGAATGAAGTAAGCAACTGAGGAAGACAACTTAAAATAGCAATTGTAAACTATTTGCAAATCCAAGTTGTATATTTATTTAAGTTGTAAATTAATTGTAATTACAACTAAATTTTCTTATACAGTCTCACAAGTATTTTCTTAAAATTAATTGCAATTATTCTATAAACAACAAACAAGTCTCACAACAGAATAAGTCTCACAACAATACTCAAAATTAATTGCTCAAGTAAAAACCAATTGCTCAAAATTAATTGAAATTACAATTAAATTTGCTTATAAAGTAATTTCTTAAAATTAATTAAGAGATATTTTCTATAAACAATAAGTCTCACAACAGATTACAATCTCACAACAATTAATTATAGATTTACAGTCTCACAACAATTAATCCCACAACAATTAATTACAGATTTGCAGTCTCCACAATTAATCCCAGTAAATCAGTAATACAAGTCTGAGAAGTCTCACAACAGAAATTCTATAAGATTAAAAAGAAAAAAAATTCCTATTTGAGTAGATAATTCAACAGTCAACAGTCAGTCAGTCCTCACAAGTAGATAATATCTGTTCAAATCAAAAATCAACTTAAAAAATAGAAAACCACAGCCAGAGACGAAGGCTAGAAGAGAACGACAAAATTAAACTTAGGAAACAGCAGCAGAGAGAGAGACGAAGGCCAGAAGTGAACGAAAATGAACTTCGAAGGTGAGAAGAGATGAATGATACCTGTTCGAAGTCGAGGCGAGCGTGAAGAGGCGAGGTTCTCTGGAATTCGCGAAGGCGAGAGAGGCAGTTTAGGGTTCGCCGGAGATTCACGAAGTCGACGCGAGAGAGGAGGATTCACGAAGTCGCTGCTCGCTGGAGATTCACGAAGTCGCTGACTCGCTGCTCGCTGGAGATTCACGAAGTCGTGGTTGGCTGCTCGCTGGAGATTCACGAAGTCGCTGCTCACTGGAGAGTGGAGATTGACGAAGGCGAGAGGGGAAGAACAGCCGCCAGAGAGGAAGTCTTGGGTTTTCAGAGACGAAGTCGTGGTTAGGGCTTACCTTTTCTTTTCATTGCGAAGTCGGGTCGGGTCGGGTTTCACATCTCAAACTCAAAAACCCAGTGCTGCTCTTAGCCGATAAACCCGATAAAAATCACAGAGTTATCGGGCGATAATCTCCTTTATCGGCGGTTTATCGCCGATAATGTGCCAAAAACGATAACCGATTACAATTTCACGTTATCCTCGCGGCCAGCCCAAAAATCCGATATATCGCCGATAATACCCGATATATCGCCGATATTTAAAACACTGGTCAGAATAACTCCCTTTGAAGGATCTTTTATATTCAATCATATGCATCAGAATTCATAGGTAGTTGACTGTCTTTCAAGATTGTCATAATCAGGCAATGCTTCGCATGCTAGATGGGATCAGTTGCGTAGCTTTTTGTTAATTTCTTGCTATGGATCAATATTTTTGAGATTTCTTGACTCTCGAGTCCTAGTTGCGCAATTCTCTGGAACCCCTCAAACCGTCATACAGTCCCTAAGAAATGATTCCCGGTACATTTGTGAACCAATTCCCTTCGATGCACGAATTGGTTTCCCAAAATTGGCGTACCGCTTATAAGTATGCGGGGCGCAAAGTCATTTTAACTATACATGCAAAAGACACAATACATTATGCGCAATCGAGTAAAGAGAGGCGCACAATAGAATATATGACTTTACTATAACTAAATATCTATGTTAATAGAATGTGAAATGAAACCATGATCCTGACACAAACTATGTGAAAGGAAAAACAGAACAAAAAATAAACTCCATAAAGAAGAAGCATTTAAGCAAATTAGCTTTCTAGTTTCTAGTTGTCAACTATGGAAAAAGATAACCGCGCCCAAAAAAGAGTTACTACATGCTACTGGACCAAAGTTGGCATACCAAAGCAAGCTACCGCTACCGCCCGACCCCCCCCCAACAACAAAAAAAAAAAATCAAATCCAAATTTTCTAAATGGCAAATTGTGTACCCGAAATCGTAGCACAACCCGCTAGGTACCATGTACTGCGTAACTATGCTTTGAGGCACCTTCAGCGACCAACTTACAAGGAAAAAGGCTAAGAAGGAGAATAAAATGATGATACAACTATACAGCAAGCCAGCTTCGAGTCAAGTAAAGGCACATAACATGTTAAATATTGATTTTCCTGCTAATGATCAAAAGAATGTAATCGCTTTTCAAATTACCCTTGACTTGCATATTTTTTAATACCTTGAAGCATATATATGATAATTATGTACAATGAAATTACCAATGACGCATATGTATACCTAGAAGTTAGACATCATATTTAAAATATAATACTATTTTTTGGGTAAAGAAGCCTTAAGGATTCCTAAATCAACTTCATGCATTTTAATTTGTAGATATATAATTTTCAAATTTTTTTCTTGATGGTTCCTTGCAGCAAATTCCGAAGTGGTGGATTTGGTTTTACTATATCAACCCCATGGCCTGGACAATAAATAGCCTCTTAACTTCACAATATGGAGACGTAGACAAAGAGATAATGGTGTTCGGAGAAGTGAAATCAATTTCCTCTTTTATAAAGGATTACTTTGGGTACCACCATGATCATCAGGGATTTGTGGCTGTTATTCTCATCGCCTATCCTCTCATCTTTGGTTGTCTTTTTGCATATTGTATAGAAAAGCTAAATTTTCAAAGAAGATGAACAAGAAGCTTCTGTACCAGAAAATAAACATTTGAAATATAAAAGTAGCATGGACTTCTTACCATTTAATAGTTGTATATGCAAAATTTCATACCAAACTGCATGCATGGTTGAGCATGGTATATATATTATATATCATGCAATGCAAATATCCTACCATATATGTGATGGAAGTAATTCTCCTGTTAATGGATGCACACACACACACACTGAAGAAGAAGAAAATCTGATTTTGGTGACTTCACCACGCACCACAACTTTACTGATATATATATATATAAGAAACTGAATACAAGAACGTGCAAACGTGCAGACGTGCACAAGAAACCTGAAAAGAAAAAACAACTAACTGGAAACTATCCAACTAAATAACCAACTTAACATATTGTTGTTTTTTGTTGGCCCAATAAGTTGGCCCGTTACTCTATAGGCCCAGCTCCCCAAGACTTTTGCCCTAGCCCCTCTTATTTTCTTCTCCTACCCGATATCTCTAAATCCCCTCCGATCTCTGTGATTTGATGGCCGCCGCTTGTGAGCTCCCATCCGTAGGCCGGCTCACTCCTTCGTTTTCTTCCCTAGCTCCTCTCCCTTGTCGGCTGCCCCCATCCCTATATATGGGTAATGGGTTGGTAGTAGCTCTGGAGAGGGATGAAGAGGAAATAGAGACGGTGATGAGATTAGAGCTTGGTGCTCCTCCCCTTTGTGCGATCTCCTTTCCGGAGAGCTTTGTGCTCCTGTGAGCTTTGTGCGAACCCTCCCTTTCACCGCTGTGGGTCTCTTGAGGGCCAGACCCGTACCCGAGCTTCCCTTGGTTTCTTGGTGGTGCACTGGAGAGAGAACAGTGACTGATTTGTGCAGACTTCTGAGCCAACAACTTGAGCTCTCCTCTACTGTGTGCGATCTCCCTCCTTCTGTGAGTTTTGTGCTCCTGAGAGCTTTGTGCTCTCACCCCCTTTGTGCGACCCCCTTTGTGAGTAACTGGTGAAGGAGATCGGCGATCTCCCCTTTTGGTCCTTGGTGGTGCACGAGAGAGGAGAACGAGGACTGGTTGAGCAGGTTTCTGAGCTAATAGATAACGCAGATCCTCAACACATATGAAATAGATAAAGCTATCTTAACAAGATTAATCCAGCATTCACCCCCTTAATCTTGTTGTATTTTCTTCACATCCTTCAGACATATCTTCTCACGCAGCTCAATAAATCTTTGCCGACCAAGTGGCTTCGTCAGAACGTCGGCCAATTGATCCTCAGTCTTCACATACTCCACTTCAATTTCTTCCTTTTGAACATAGTCACGAATAAAATGATACTTGATATCAATGTGCTTGCTTCTGTCATGATGCACAGGGTTATTCGTGAGAGCAATGGCTGATTTGTTGTCTACATTGAGAACTGCTTTGACAGGTTCACCTCCCTTTATTTCACTCAACAATCGCCCAAGCCAAATACCCTGACATGCTGCTGCTGTAGCGGCCACGTATTCAGCTTCACATGAGGAGAGTGCCACCACTCTCTGCTTCTGTGATAGCCAAGTGACTAGATTTCCACCAAGGAAGTAGATAACCCTCTCACCAGCCAAGTCACTGTCGCTGTACCCAGTCAAGTGTTCCCCCAAATGCTTCTTCCTGTCATAACAACACCCAAAGTTTAGAGTGCTATGCACATACCTTAGTATTTGCTTCACGACAGTCATGTGAATCGTTGTAGGCGCTTCCATGTATCGGCTGACAACTCCAAATGAGTAAGCTAAATCAGGTCTTGTGTTAACTAGGTATCTCAGACTCCCTATGACACTTCTATACAGAAATGCATCAACTGGGGGACTAACATTCACTTTACTCATTTTAAGTCTCGGCTCCATGGGGATTTGACAGGGATTGTATTCGGCCATCCCAAGCTTCTCAAGTATCTTTAGCGCATATACTAACTGAGACAGTGTGATGGAATGTGCATTTTGCTTCACTTCAATGCCCAGGTAGTAGCTTAATAATCCAAGATCACTCATGTCAAACAGCTTCTTCATCTGTTCTTTGAACTTCGCAATGTGTTCGACACTTGACCCAGTGATAATAAGGTCATCTACATAAACACCAATCACTTGAATTTCACCCCCCAGTTCTTTCTTGTACACAGCATGCTCCATAGGACACTTGATAAACCTCAATGACTGTAAGCACTTATCAAGCTTCGAATTCCATGCTCGAGGTGCTTGACACAGTCCATATAATGCCTTCTTCAGCCTCAACACTTGTCCCTCATGTCCTTTGGCTTCAAATCCCACTGGTTGTGCTACGTACACCTCTTCCTCTAGCTCGTCGTTCAAAAATGCAGATTTTACATCCATGTGATGTACTTGCTAGTTCTCCTGTGCTGCCAATGCAATTAGGAGCCTTACAGTTTCTAACCGTGCAACTGGAGCAAACACTTCATTGAAATCTACTCCCAGTTTCTGTACATACCCCTTTGCCACAAGTCGAGCTTTATGTTTTACTATCTCTCCTTCAGGATTTTTCTTCACCTTATACACTCATTTCAAGCCAATAGCACGGTGCCCTTTTGGTAATTCTGCGAATTCCCATGTATTATTCCTCTCAATTGCTGCAATTTCTTCTGCCATGGCCTGCCTCCAATTTTCATTACTTGCTGCCTCTTCATAACTTGCTGGCTCATCAATGGACAAAAAACATAGCCCTGCTTCTTCATCCACATCAACTGTATCATTGTACACTTCTTGTAAAGAACGATACTTACGTAGTCTCTCTGAGCTTGCTGAATGATCTGCTGCCTCTTGTAACTGATCATATCCCGATGAGGAGTGAGATGCTGCCGCACCCCCAGAGGTTTGCACACCAACTAGTGTATTCTCAGTTGTATGATCAACTGTGTCTTGTACACTCCCAGTTGGCTCAGATTCATAGTGTATAGTGAACATGTCACGTGAGTGAGCTCCAAAGCTCCCTTCTCCTTGTACACAATGTTTTAAATGTCGGATATCGGGTTTATGTCGGTCGGTCAAAATTCATGTCGGATAGCGGAAATCGGGGATATATCAGGGGACATGAAAAAAATATCGGATTGCCATATCGGATAGGTTGATATAATATCATAAATGGAATTTTCACATACTTGATAATTATATTATCTAAACATATGAAAAAATACATAACTTATTGATGTTAGGATCACTAACCAATTGTAGACACCTGATTTCCGAGTCGGGTTTTTTAAACTTGACCCAATAAGCTTAAAACCGCTTTTTCTGAAATTTGGCCTATATTTCTTGGCCGCAATGGCGCCCGACATACCCGATATTTTCCGATATGTCCCGACATGACCTCAGAAACGCAATACGCATTGAAATGAAGGATATCGTGGCGGCTAGGGGATAAAACCGGACGACGCTGCTGCACCTCCAGAAGAATTCGCTGCTGCACCTCCAGAATTCGCTGCTGCACCTCCAGAAGATTTCATAGATACTGGTGTATTTTCAACATTCTCACCTGCATGATCAACCATGTTTTGTACACTCCCAGCCGGCTCATGTTCATAGTGTACGGTGAACACGTCATGTGAGTGAGCTCCAAAATATCGGCCGTCATGTCCGACATGACGGTCGATATTTAAAACACTGCTTGTATAGACTCCCAATTCCACTCCTTATCTTCCTCAAATATTGTGTCCTTGCTTACACACAATTTCTTTGCATTAGGATCATAGACCATGTATGCTTTTGAACCTGTTTCATATCCCAAGAACACCATTGGCACACTCCTATCATCCAGTTTCTTCGTGTGTGGTTTTACAGTCTTTATGTGCACTAAACTACCAAACATCCTCATGTGATGTACCTTGGGTTTGTGGCCAGTCCATTTCTCGTAAGGTGTTGCACCTTCCACACTTTTTGTCGATGTTCTGTTGAGTATATACACTGATGTCTTCACTGCTTCAGCCCAGAATTCCGATGGAACATGTTTGCTCTTTAGTAAGCTTCGAGCCATGTTCACAACAGTTTGATTTCTACGCTCGACGACACCATTTTGCTGAGGGGAATATGGTGTTGTGAGGTACCTTTTGATGCCCAGTTGCTCACAATATTCATTGAATATAATATTTGTAAACTCACCTCCCCTATCTGTCAGTAGAGCTCTGAGTTTTGAATTTGATTCCAGTTCTGCTCTTGCTTTTATCTTCTTGAAAGCAGCAAATGCTTCATCCTTGCTTCTCAAAATCTCAACCCACATGTATCTGCTGTAGTCATCTACAATCAGCATGAAATACTTATTTCCTCCTAGTGTCATTGGAGAAATTAGATCACACAGGTCACAATGCACAAGTTGAAGTGGTTTTTCAGCCCGAAAGCTTGAGTTATGGGAAAATGGTGTGCGATGTTGTTTTCCCACCACACACCCATCAAATACTTGCATTACATGATCAATGACAAGCATTCCTATCATCATTCCCTTCTTGGTCATGTTTCTTAACGCCTGGAAATTTAAACGGCCATAACGGGCATGCCACAGCCATTCAACTTCTGTTAGTTTCCCCATTAAGCACACTAAGTAAGTTGTTTTCAAATTTAGGATGTACAATCTATTTCTTGATCCTCTTACTTTCGCCAGCAACTTTCTAGCTTTATCATACACCAACAAACTTCCATCTTCTATTACAGTTTTGCATCCATTCTCATCCAGTTAGCCTAGACTCACTATATTGCTACGTAGTTTAGGTATGAAATAAACACTGGTAAAGAGTCGATGCTCACTATTATGACACTGAAAACATTACAGTGTCTTTTCCTCGAATGTTCACAACAGAGCCATCACCAAACTTGACTTTGCCAGTTACAGTTTCATCCAATTCTGAGAACCACTCCTTGCAGCCTGTCATGTGGTTGCTTGCTCCAGTGTCGAGGAACCAGCCAGAGTTGTCGTGCACCGCTTCTTCTCCTTCATTCAACTTTGGCTTCACTTTCTCCTCATAGAGCATCACTTCCTCCGTTGTCAGTTCCCTATGATTCTCACACTCACAAACTTTCATCGTCAAAAGTGCTAGTTCATCATCATCCTCTTGTGCCTCCACAAAGTGAGCCCTTTCATCCTTCTTCTTAGATCGACATTCCGAGGCAAAATGCCCATAATTTTGACAATTGTAGCACTTCACCTTGGTCTTGTGGAACTTTCTCTCACGATGATTGGACTCATTCCAGCGACCACCTTCACCGTGCCCGCGACCACGACCACGGCCACACCCACGGCCGCGGCCATGTCCACTACTATTTTCTCGTCCTTTATATGAATTGGACGAGCTCTCTCCTTCTCCTTTCGCTTGTTTTCCTTTCCACTTTGCACTCGTCAACAGGACGTGTTCTTCCTCATTGTCACCATAGCCCCGCAATCGTTCTTCATGTGTCTTAAGCGATCCGATGACCTCCTCAACTGTCATCATGTTGAGGTTGCCAAACTGTTCAATGGTGGATGCAATCTGAAGGAACTTGGAGGGGACTGCACGGAGAAGTTTCTTAACGACATAGGCCTCATCTATCTTGTCGCCCAATGCACGAATCTTGTTGACAATAGTTGTCAGCTTTGCAGCAAAATCATCCACTGTCTCCGCTTCACGCATGCGAAGACCCTCGAACTCACTTCTTATAGTTTGAATTTTTGCCTCCTTGACGCGCTCAGCGCCCATGTGCATTGTTTTCAACATCTCCCACGCCTCCTTGCCCGTCTCCTTCTCAGCCAACACGAGAAGAGT